GATTGTCTGGGTGTGACTCGGACAAAAACATTCAGTAGTGGGAAACTCCCATTTCTGGCTTCAACTTTCCCCCGGCGGAGCAATGGGCGGGCTATGTCCATATTTTTACATGTCGATGGTGCATATGCAGGAATGAGATCAGACGTGTGTTTTGGTCCCATGCCATTGAGTGGTTTATAAACCAGTAGGAGCACTTTGGCATCTATTCAGTGGTTTACTGGTAACCAGTGCAGGGATCTAAGAACAGGAGTGATGGGCTCCGTTCTCTAAGTTCTTGCTAGGACCCTAGCATTAATGCATTTTGTTTATATTAATTACCTACATGCTAATGCTCTGTAGTAGGGCTGGACATCGTTTGATTTTGAACGATTCCGATTCCAATTCCTCGTTTCGATTCCGGTTCCTATTGATTCCCGATTCCGATTATTTGAAGACATGACACGTTTAACATGAGCCAGCCGACCACAGGTCCTACTGGATGAAATAATCTTAACTTCAACATGAATTTTAACTCTATGAACAACAACATCACCTTCATTTAGACACAAACATGTTCTGGAGAACAAAAGAAAAAGACTTGCAGCACAACCAGTGTGTTTGTTTCTGACCACAACCAAAGTGTGGAAGCAGCCTCTGGCATGAGAGGATACATGAATCCGTGTATCATTCCTTCTATTTTCAATTGTAAACAATCAAAAAAGGAAAAACGAATTTGTTTTTTGTTTTATAAATGGGTTCAAAAAACAAAAAAATGTCTGTTTTGTGTATTTTCTATATTTTGTCTTGGATCAAAAATGAGAAATGGAAAAACTGCCGCTGGACTGAATCTGATATTAATATTTGGTAAAAACAGCTAAAACACGGTGTTTTACGAGTATTATTCTGCGTGACATGGACCACGAGAGTTCTTTCATCACCGACAACACGGCCCTGGGTGGAAAGCAAAAAACAAACAAAATTAAAATGCTCAAAAAAAAAAATTCCGGTTTTCAATTTAAAACAATTTTTCACTCAAACAACCCTTCCAGTTTAGAAAAGTAAATCTTTTTCATTTTGAAGACAAACGTTTTGATTAAAACCAGTGGTGGGCAGTCAGGGCCAGCAAAGCTTCTCTGCTGGCCTAAACCTACTCAAAAACATTAGTGTATTTTTTTTCCTTTGGTAAATATTTTTAAATAAAAATATGTTCACTGGTCATTTTTCTTTATATCCTATTATAACCACTTGGCTGCGCTGCTTCCAGTGTTGAAATACCAAGGCTGGGTGTTATCCAATCAGATTTAAGCTAGCTTGTGTTTCCAGGCAGATTAAGTCTGCTCTAGGCCTTCAGAATCAATCGAGAAGCCCACTGTCCGCTGTAAGTGAACAGAGACGAGTCAGTTGCGATAGCCAATCAGCTCACGAGTCAGCGTGGCCCGGGCCAGCTAGCTGGCCTCACGCTAAAGTTGACATGAACGCATCCTGTGATTGGATAAGCAGTAGTTAGGACTTTTCTAGCGGCATGAAGCAAAATATCAAAACTAAACACAGAGATTTGTATCTATAGGCAGCTATCGGTGTGTTTTTGAACACATGATGGCTGAAAGAGGAGAAGGGACGGACTTGGTTGCAGATTTACTTGCCACACCATTTTCCAGACGGACCTTTAAAGAAAAAATGGATCTTGTGAGAACAGGTCGTCCGACTCCAACGCTAGCTGGCTGGTCCCAGCAGGGGAAAGGATTTGTTCGTCATTTTCAGGCAAGCAACTCTGAACGGTACCCACGGCTAACAGCTTCAGAGAACCGCTGCAGGCTATTCTGCTGGGAACGCCTGTTGCTCGCATCAGATGGATTTGGTATTAAGAGCTTTACTGGATTTGCCAGTTTAAGTTGTTTCACCAAGGCAGCAAAGAGACACCAAAGCACGGCTGGCCACTTACAAGCTTTTAGAAACCTTTGGGGACACCCGAGTGGATCTGCAGCTCAGTGAACAGGCGCGCAGGGACACGGAGCTCCACAACGAAAAGGTGAAGAACACTAGGGAGATGTTGAAAAGGCTGATGGATTGTGTCATGTTTTTGGGTAAACAGGGACTTTCCTTTAGGGGACATGATGAAAACCCCCCAGTCATTAAATAGAGGTGCAGATTCTATCTTTTCTTGCTGAACATGACGCCGACTTGTATTACCACCGGACCACCAACAGGGTCTTTACTGGGACATCCGGCAGAATACAAAATGACCTCATTCATGCTGTTGCTGAAGTGATGGGAGGTGAGATCAGAATGGAGATCAGAAGAGCCCCTCTTGTCACCGTCATGGTGGATGAGGCCACAGACGTGGGTAACGTGGCACAGCTGGCACTCGTCCTGCGCTACGTGACAGCCACAGGTGTCCAGGAGCGCTTTGTCAAATGTGTGGATGTAACTAGTGGCAGGCGAGCTGATGACCTTGCTGCGCTTATTTTCCGTATGCTTGAGGAATATGAATGCTGTTTGGACAACGTTGTTGCACAGTGTTCGATGGTGCAGCGGCGATGGCATCTGGACTAAACGGGGTGCAGGCTACAGTTAGGGAAAAGGCACCTATGGCCTTATTCATTCACTGTCGTGCACATCGTCTTAATTTAGTGCTGACTCAAGGGCCTCAAAGCTTAAAGAGTGCAAGGTCTTTGTTGCCAATCTGAATGGCCTCGCTGCGTTTTTCTCCAGATCCCCGAAGCGCACACAGTTGCTGGATGATGTGTGCAAACGGCGTCTTCCTCATGTCGCGCCAACACGGTGGCAATATTCATCAAGACTGGTGAATGCAGTCTTTGAGAATCGAGATGCTCTAAAGGAGATGTTTGGTCACATACTGGACCACCACGACGAGTATGATGAGGACACCGTGCTTTCTGCAGATGGATTTAACGCACGGCTGGACGATTTACAGTTTTGTTTCTTGATCAAACACAGTCAACGGGCTTTTTGAGTATGCTGATGTGCTTTTTGGAACAGACCAAATCATTGGATGTGCAATTCTGCACGGCCAGGCTGAACGAGTTTTGTGACAAAGTTGAGCAAGAGAGGGGCAATGCCAGTGAGATATATGAAGAAGCAATGCGTGCCTCCGGTGGTCCAAGTGTGCGCAGAGGCCAACGCACGGCGCAAGGCGATCTCCGTGCACATTACCAAAAACTCCACAACAGCATTCTGGACAGCATTCTTTCCCAGACAAGGAATCGATTTCAGGACCATGAAATGTTGATGTTTCTCTCCCTTCTTGACCCCCAGCACTTTCAGACATACAGAAAAAAATTCCCAACAGCAGCCTTCTCCAGCTTAACACAGAGCTACGGACCACTGTTGGGTCTTCCCCGACTCAAAACAGAACTGACTGTAATGTATGCTATGGCTGATTTTGAAGGGAAAAGTCCCGCTGATCTACACGATGTTCTTCTCAGCAAAGACCTGAGTGAGAGTATGGGACAACTTTACGCCCTGGCCTGTTCGGCTGTGACTATCCCGGTGTCCACTGCCTCTGTTGAGCGCTCATCCTCAGCATTAAATCGCGTAAAAACGTACGCCAGAAACACGACCGGACAGACGCGGCTTTCAGCATTAGCCTCCATGTCCATAAAAGGCTCTACTCATGGACCTGAAGCGCACGGGTAAACTGTATGACAGAGCCATGGAGGGTTTCCTGAGGGAAGAAAGAAGGATGGATTTTATTTTCAAATGAGCAGGAGAGGAGGAGATCCATGCTGGACATTTATGTTGGTGAGTAGAAACATTTTATTAGTATTGTTTTAATGTTTTGTCATTTCATTTTGTTAATAATCAAGAAATGGTAACAAAATAAAATGGCTAAATGAAATTATTCTGTTTCTATGCCATTAATATTGTGTACAACGTGGTGTGTGCAGCTGCGCCAACGTTGTTTCGCGGTGCCATTTTCTCCTAAACAAATGCAAATAATGTGTTTGCTTTACTTATTTATTTTATCGTCTCATCTCTTAAACCCTTCTTTCATTTCTGAGATTTGACGGTATCCGTGGTCCTGCTTCCTACTCTCTATTGGGAATGTGAGTTTGATTTCAAAGGCTCCGGAAATTACGTGTCTTGGCCAACCACTGGTGTGTGTGTGTGTGTGTGTGTGTGTGTGTGTGTGTGTGTGTGTGTGTGTGTGTGTGTGTGTGTGTGAGAGAGAGAGAGAGAGAGAGAGAGAGAGAGACTGTGATGTCATACTGATGGTATTTTAAGGTGTATTAAGTTAGATGGTATTGAACAGGAAATCACCGAAGGCGCAGGGGTGGGATGCACCGCCCGCCACTGAAAAACTAAACAGAAATAATGGATTGCAGCAGAAAGTCAGTAATTAATTGAAAGATCAAGATTTTTAAGGTAAGTTTGAGTTTCTCAAAAGTTGTTTTAGACTTTTTTATGTGATTAATAGAGAAAGAAAATAACCTCCATTCCTCTAACCAGATCCAGCCTTTGGACCGCTGGGTGGCGCTAAAGCACCTACAGTAGTCACCACCTGCCGTAAAACCACAGAAGAAGAAGAAGGTGCAGCAGCGAGCAGCAGCTGTAAACATCAGCAGGCTGTGGAAACGTTCTTCTCCTCCTCAACAACTTGGTGGAGTTCTTTCCAGAAGCAGAGAAGCTATTCTGCGGTCTTCGTGACAATCGGAGCTCCAGAAGCAGGTGATGGGTGAGAAAAGCTTTTCTCTAGACTTCCTGCCCTCTGGATCTGCTGCTGTTCCTTTGGCCTCTCTGAGAAACGCGCTCGTTTTGCTGCTTTCATCAGATTGAAGAGGTTCCCTCTATCAGACTCGCTCATCTGAGTTGGTCATGATGCAGGATCGCTGCTCGCTCTCTCATCCATCCTGCTCACACTCTCCGACGGAAAAGGCCCGAATCTGAATGTGACTCTGGAGGAAAAAGCGGTTAGCTCTACTCCGTGAACTCTGGTGAGCAAAGGTCCTCTTTTCCAGACTGGATGTGTCCTCAGCTGATCAGAACCAAAGCGTTGGATCTTTAATCTCCTGCGTTGTTCTGAAGCAGCATCTTAATCAGCTCTCCTGCTTTGTTTCTATTGCAGCTGTTAGCTAAACACGGCTAAAGAAAACCTGCTACCACTTCAGGATCATCCATCAGCTGGGACTGCTTCATCAGCATGGACACAGGTACTGGTGTGTGTGTGTGTGTGTGTGTGTGTGTGTGTGTGTGTGTGTGTGTGTGTGTGTGTGTGTGTGTGTGTGTGTGTGTGTTCTGGACAGCATGGACACAGGTACTGGGGTGGGTGTGTGTGTGTGTGTGTGTGCGTGTGCGTGTTCTGGACAGCATGGACACAGGTACTGGGGTGGGTGTGTGTGTGTGTGTGTGTGCGTGTGCGTGTTCTGGACAGCATGGACACAGGTACTGGGGTGTGTGTGTGTGTGCGTGCGTGCGTGCGTGTGTGTGTGTGTGTGTGCGTGCGTGCGTGCGTGCGTGTGTGTGTGTGTGTGTGTGTGTGTGTGTGTGTGTTTTACAGCATGGACACAGGTACTGGTGTGTGTGTGTGTGCGTGCGTGCGTGCGTGCGTGCGTGCGTGTGTGTGTGTGTGTGTGTGTGTGTGTCAAACGTGAAAAACTCACTTTAAATGGGGGCGGGGCTTAGATTTCACCTTTCCAGTACCTATAATGCAGCTCATTCCTAAGCAGCTTCAGTCCAGGTCACACCTTCCTGCATCTGATCAACACAATGACTCATCAGGGGATGGAGAGGAGGGGTATTCAGAGTAGTTTCTGCTCGTTAAACAACAACAGCTACAGCTATAAGCTGGACTCTCCCATATTCCAGTCAGAACTGCCAAAGCTCCTCATTTACTCTCTGAACCCTTACGGGTCACCATGACCTGGATGACTGAGGACCTTCAGCAGCACAACAATGTAAACAAATAAAGATTAAGAATAAAAATGTAAAAACAGGCAAATAAGCAGAAATAACAGAAACTCAGGATGACCAGAAGGTCCCACCAAACCTGAACAGGTGAGTTTAAAGGAGACCACTGAGTCCACTGATCTCAGGCTCAGGGGGAGAGAGGTCCAGAGTCTGGGGGCCACAGCAGCAGATGGTCTGTCACCTTTGACCTTTAGCCTGGTGCTGCACAACCAGTAGGCTTGAGGGCAGCACCCATCTACGTTATTTACTGTCAGTACAGAAAGGTGTGGTCTAATACTGGTCATGGTTGATCCAGCACACACAGAGAGCAGCGCTGAACCACCTAATGAACTCTAACTGGACAGCGGCTCTGTGGAACCACAACGTAAGCTCCTGCAGCGCGTTGGTCACAACAGGACGGAGAAGTGTTCTTCCCACACTGCGAAAGGCTGTGAGTCGTATCCAGTCACAGGTGTGACCCGCCCACTGAGAGCTGAGCTGGACGCTGTAGCAAAACTGAAGAAGTACACTCCTCCATGTCTAACGGCTTTATTGACCAGGATGAAGGAGCCCTGCGGAGACATACAAAGCTGAGTGAGCAGAAGCTAACGGCAGCGTGAAGCAGCAGCGTGGGCTGAAGACCAAACCTAAGCAATGTGATAAAATAGGTAAATAGATGCAGCGCGGCTTAGCGTGCATACTGACAATGTGACCATTACATTAGCTTAACAAGCAGGTGAAGACTTACAGATACAAGTGAACAGTAGCATGGATAGACAGCAGTGTGATGGTTGAGCAGCAGCAATCCACATGAGAGGCAGCAGTATGTAGAGTGAGGGATAGTCACACGTACGTGACTTCAGGCACGTCCCTGAATCCACCTTTTTCCCTCGAGGCTTGATCGCAGCACACCCTAGTGGCCAGTGGTGACCTCTGCAGATAGAAACGTGGTCGTGGCGAGAGCGACCACAGTGGGAAGAACATTTAGGAGGTAAATATGAAGCTGAGGATAGAAAGCTGCTCCAAACGTTGGAGAGGTTACATCTCCAATCTGGTCCGGGAACGCCTTGGGGTCCTGCTGGAGGAGCTGGTGGAGGTGACCGGGGAGAGGACGGTCTGGAGCTCCCTAGTTGGGATGCTGCCCCCGCGACCCGGACCCGGATAAGTGAAGGAAGACGACGATGACGAGGATAGAAAGCGTCACAGATGACCCATCTTCCATACGTAGCAGGACACACTTCCGGCGTGGCTAGCACCTCCGACGCCTCCACCCTAATGCGTCGCTCTGGAAGCAGAACATCTGAGGGGGAACGGCGGTCTCTGGTGCCTTTCACCTAACATACCAGGTCAGCTGATCACAAGTACAGGTCCTTCTCCAAAAATTAGCGTATTTCATCTGACCAATTAAAGAAAAGTGTTTTTAATACAAAAAAGTCAACCTTCAAATAATTATGTTCAGTTATGCACTCAGTACTTGGTCGGGAATCCTTTAGCAGAAATGACTGCTTCAGCGCGGCGTGGCATGGAGGCAACCAGCCTGTGGCACTGCTGAGGTGTTCTGGAGGCCCAGGATGCTTCGATAGCGGCCTTAAGCTCATCCAGAGTGTTGGGTCTTGTGTCTCTCAACGTTCTCTTCACAACATCCCACAGGTTCTCTACGGGGTTCAGGTCAGGAGAGTTGGCAGGCCAATAGAGCACAGTAATACCATGGTCACTAAACCATTTAGCAGTGGTGTTGGCACTGTGAGCAGGTGCGAGGTCGTGCTGAAAAATGAAATCTTCATCTCCATAAAGCTTTCCAGCAGATGGAAGCATGAAGTGCTCCAACATCTCCTGATAGCTAGCTGCATGGACCCTGCCCTTGATAAAACACAGTGGACCAACACCAGCAGCTGGCATGGCACCCCAGACCATCACTGACTGTGGGTACTTGACACTGGACTTCAGGCATGTTGGCATTTCCCTCTGCCCAGTCTTCCTCCAGACTCTGGCACCTTGATTTCTGAATGATGTGCAAAATTTGCTTTTATCCGAAAAAAGTACTTTGGACCACTGAGCAGCAGTCCAGTGCTGCTTCTCTGTAGCCCAGGTCAGGCGCTTCTGCCGCTGTTTCTGGTTCAAAAGTGGCTTGACCTGGGGAATGCGGCACCTGTAGCCCATTTCCTGCACACGCCTGTACACGGTGGCTCTGGATGTTTCTACTCCAGACTCAGTCCACTGCTTCTGCAGGTCCCCCAAGGTCTGGAATCGGTCCTTCTCCACAATCTTCCTCAGAGTCCGGTCACCTCTTCTCGTTGGGCAGCGTTTTCTGCCACACTTGTTCCTTCCCACAGACTTCCCACTGAGGTGCCTTGATACAGCACTCTGGGAACAGGCGGAGGGAGACTAGGGGTCTTAGCCACCTCTGTTGTTGCTAGGCTTCCTGGGGCTGGAGGCTAGGAGGGAGATCTGGCCGTCTGGTTGGGGTCTGGGGTGGTGGGTTGCTGTGCTCGGCGTTGGGCGGGGGAGCCTGCTCATCAGCACCCCAGCAGAAAGGGTCAAACTCTGGTAACCGGTGATGGTTGTACCCAATGTGCAGCAGTACCGGGACCAGAGTTAATAGGGTGTGTATGGGGAGCATGAGTGGGTGTCCGGCGTGCATTTTTGTAAGTCTTGGGTTGTATGTGCATGTGTGAGCATGAGGGAGGGAGCGTGTGACTGTGTTTGTGTATGACTGTATATGTCAGGTGGGGCCTTTGACTCCTCCCTTCTCCTGGAACTTCTCTTGATAATATAGATCTTTGTCCCCCCTCCCCCTGCCACACCTGGTGTGAGGGGTTGTGCCGTGGTCTGCCTGAGTGTTCGTGGCAACCGGGTCTGGGGGTTTAAGATTTTGGCATCTGCCTGTTAGATCCCGGTGGCTGCCTGGTGGGGTCTGGGTCCCTGGGCTCTGCTGGGTCTCCGGCGTGGGTGGTCGCCCCTGGGTCCCGGGTCGCTGGGTCCCGGGCTCGGCCGGCTAGGGGGTGGGAGGCTGCAGGCGGGCCTGTGGGCTTGCCGCTGATATCTCCCGGGACTCTGCCGGCTGCTGGTTGTGGCCCCCCGGGGCGATCCTCTGTGCCTCTCGGGGGGGGGGGGGGGGGGGGGGGGGGTTGCAGTCTCCTTGGGGTTCCTGTGTTCTGGGGCAGTGCCTGGATCTCTGGGACTTGGAGCTCCCCCCCGTCTCCTGCGCATCTTTGGGGGGCGGATCTGTGGTCCCTCACACTCTCTGTTGGACGCTTCTATAGAGAAACCTTACATAAACAAGCGCGTGTACACACACAGGTGCTCACATGGTGCTCTCAAAAGTATGGGCTTGGGCACGTTCAACACAGGTCTTAAGACTATGGTGGGCACTTAATGCACTGTGATTTATCATCGTGATTCTTCAGTTAAACAATGTTGATTATTTATTTTCTTCATCAAGTTGACGCAGTGATAGCTAGATGTTGTTGTATTGTTGTTGTGTCCCTTTGTTTTGTTGTTTTTTTTTTTTTTTTTGTCTTTTTCTGCAGGTCTAGAAGCAGACTCTTGTTCATTGTTTATTTTTGTGGAACCCCCCCCCCCCCCCCTGCTCTCTCCCCACCTTTTCTTTTCCTTTCTCTTTCACCTCTGTCTCCGTGTCTGGTCGGAATTACAAAGCATTCAACAACAATAACAATAAAGTTTTAAGTATCAGGCGTGACATTAAAAGCAAACGCTTTGATGCTTCACCTGAGAATAAATCTGTAAGGCTTGTCACCAGCATTCAGACATCAATTCTGCTTGCTTCACAGCCAGACAGGACATGGTAAAAAAAAGAAATCTTTCTGTGTCTTACCCTCTTGCTTGAGGGTGTCAATGATGGCCTTCTGGACAGCAGTCAGGTCGCCAGTCTTACCCATGATTGCGGTTTTGAGTAATGAACCAGGCTGGGAGTTTTTAAAAGCCTCAGGAGTCTTTTGCAGGTGTTTAGAGTTAATTAGTTGATTCAGATGATTAGGTTAATAGCTCGTTTAGAGAACCTTTTCATGATATGCTAATTTTTTGAGAATTTTAGGAATTTTGGGTTTTCATGAGCTGTATGCCAACATCATCAATATTAGAAACAATAAAAGGCTTGAACTACTTCAGTTGTGTGTAATGAATCTAATATATATGAAGGTCTAATGTTTATCAGTACATTACAGACGATAATGAACTTTATCACAATATGCTAATTTTTTTAAAAGGACCTGTATGTGTCCGCATCGGCCAATGTGTCGTGATTAAAGCGGGTATAAAGTCAGGCGTTCTCGGGCAGCCCAGTGCTGTAGTAGACCTTCATTTAAAAGTACGTTCTCTATAAACATCTGCATAATAAATACTACACCCTAACTTTATTTAGGTGTTTGACTTTAACACTGAGCAGTGTCGTGTCCTTGGGCAAGAGTCCTAAAGGTTGGTTTATGCTTGACGCGTCCGCGAGGTCCGCACGGCTCAGTGCGGAAAAGTTGCGTCATTTTGCGTCATTTTAACAACCACGCCCCTCCACCGCGCCTCCGCACAGCCCAAAATTTCCACAACACGCACCTAGGAAATTTTCTAACCACGCGGACGGTCGGACGCGGAAAAACATGGCAGATCAGCAAGAACTAGTATGGCAGAGGTTGGTAAATACAGACATTTGTATGATTCAGCTCTCAGAGATCACCGTTATCAACATGTTGTTAATAATTCTTGGAGAGAAATAGCTCACACTGTCTGAAAAGACGAGAACGCTGTTAAAAAATGCTGAAATGCCATGTTGTAAACAGTAATTTCTACTTCTACTATGGTGGTGTTGGATGCATGCTGTACAGCTCCATGCTGCCCCCTACAGTTTGGGAGAATATTGGCTCACCGCAGAGACAAGCCGCATGAACCATAAACACTGCGAGTTGTGAAGCGCGTTCCATCCGCGAGCCGCATCACCAAGCGGAAAGTGAATACGTCAAGCATAAACCAAGCTTAGTAGTGCCTTGCCTGCTGGTGGTGGTCGGAGGTACCCGTGGAGCCAGTGTACCCCAGGGTAGCTGTAGCTACATCGTAGCTCATCACCACCAGTGTGTGAATGGGTGATGATTGCGAAGTGCCTTGGTGGGGGCGTTGTTGAACCCTAGGAAGGTACTAAACAAGTACAAGCCATTGACTAATTAACTGAGCAGGAAGTCCGTGTAGCTGGGTCCGCTGCAGAAGGAAATACAGGGTGGGTCATTTACATGGATACACCTGAACAGGGCTCAGATGGCTAGTCTGAAGCTTTTCTCAAGAACTGAGGAAAAACCAGAGTAATCTGGTTTTAAAGTTCTCATGTTATCAAATCAAATCAACTTTATTTATAGAGCGCTTTCACATGGCCAAAATGGACAAACGAAGCGCTGTACACCAATAAAAAGCACCACAATAGGACAGAGAAATGACCATTAAAATACAATAAGAAATCCATTAAAAATACAATAATAAATCCGTTTAAAATACAATAAGAAATCGATTTAAAATACAATACGAAAACCTGAGTGCAAGTTAGCAGTCATGTTATGATTTGTGTAGCCAACCAGAGGTTGACAAGTTGAGGAATATTACCAAGACAACTCAGAAACACGCCTTCTTTGATACCAGATGCTCTGATCTGGGGTAAAGGACTATCTATGTGTCATGAGTTTAACTTAACTTTACTTTGTCCTTGTGTGAGAGCAAATGGTGATGACCTTGTCATATAAACATGCTGAAACATATATCAATCAATGTAATCATAACATAACATTCATTTCAAACTTCAATCATTGAGCACAGATTAATGAAACATTTCATTATACTTTAATTATTATAAGTAGCAATAAACAAACATTTATTTAATGATTATCCAGCTTATAAATTTTAGAAGTTCATATTTAATTTAGAAAATCATTCTTTGATTTAGCAACTGATCTGAGCTGCGAGTGTTCCTTATCCAGATGCATGAAGAATCCTGTAGGACGATAAGGGAAGCTTGGACCTTGAGGAGAAAACATCATTGTTGACAATTCGTTATCATGTGTTCAGAGTTGCAGAGGCTCTGAGCTCCAGCTGATGGGATGAAGGCAGGCCGATTTAAAGGGAACACATGCAGTCTCATGTCTCCATTTTGACCAGATGTTGAATGGTCAAACTGTACCTAAAAAATGACCATTGCTAGACGTTACATCCTCAATCTCGTTCACCATTGCTCGACTTATCGGCAGCATTTGACACTGTCAACCATGGCTTCCTTTTGTCCATACTCTCAAGCATGGGCATCACAGAGAAAGCACATGTCTGGGTTGAATTGTACCTCACAGGTCGATCATTCAGTGTATCTTGGCTTGGAAAATCCTCTACCGTGCACCATCTTGTCACAGGAGTCCCCCAGGGCTCTGTACTAGGACCTCTTCTCTTTGCCATATACACCACCTCACTGGGTGAGATCATTCTATCACATGGCTTCTCCTACCACTGCTATGCAGACGACACCCAGGTCTATCTGTCATTTCCATCGGACAACCAAACTGTCTCTGCACAAATATCAAACTGTCTCTCTGACATATCAAAATGGATGGAATCCCACCATCTCCAACTCACTCTCTCTAAAACTGAACTACTTGTCATCCCAGCAAAACCATCCATACAGCACAATATCTCAATCCAAAATGACTTCCTATCTCTGGCTCCTTCAAAGGCAGTTGGAAATCTGGGTGTTGTGATTGATGAACACCTGACCTTTAAAGATCATGTTGTCTCTGTTGCTCGTTCATGCCGCTTTGCGCTGTATAACATACGAAAGATCAGACCATACCTAACACAACATGCCACCCAGCTCCTGGTGCAATCTACTGTCATCTCCCGCCTCGATTACTGCAACGCCCTTCTAACTGGTCTTCCAGGCTGTACTGTGAGACCTCTTCAAATGGTCCAGAACGCAGTGGCGCGTCTGGTCTTCAATCAGCCCAAAAGAGCACACGTCACCCCTCTGCTCATTGAGCTCCACTGGCTACCGCTAGCAGCACGCATCAAATTCAAATAGCTAACTCTAGCATACAAAGTCCGAGATGGTACGGCTCCCATCTACCTGAATCCTCTTGCAAAGGCTTACGTCTCGGCCCGGCCGCTCCGGTCATCACAGGATTGTCGGCTAGCAGTGCCTACACCACGCTCAGGACAATCCAGACTCTTCTCATGCATCGTTCCACAAATGTGGAATGACCTTCCAAGCACTACCAGAACAGGAGCTTCCTTTTCAATTTTCAAGAAACTCCTGAAGACCCTGCTCTTCAGAGAGCATCTTCTTAACTAGCACCCTCCCTGCACCCGTCCCCCCTCTCTACTGTCCACTCCTTGTTCCCTACTCTCCATGATTGATGTCACGTTGTTGTTATTGTTGTTGTTGTTGTTAGCCTCAAGGGCAACATGCCAATTACCACTTGTAAGTCGCTTTGGACAAAAGCGTCTGCTAAATACATAAACATAAACCTAAAAACTGACCATTGCTGGACGTTACACAGAATTAAATAACTTGCCACGTGATATTATTACAGAGACCCACAGCTTCTCTATGTTTCACCCATCAGTGTTTCATCAATACAAACACCTGTACAAACAAACAAAACAGCAAGGCCTTTCGTAACAGGTCAGGTACTGCACACCTGTGCTAAACTAGTGAAACAAAAAACCCAAAGGGGTGGTACCACCGTGTGCTCTACTGGACTTAAAGGAACAGTACCTCCAACCGTTACAATTGCTGTAAAGTCCCTGACTAGTGTCAGTGACTCGATGCAACCTGTTGGGTTCCTTATATAGGAAACTTTTTTCTGATTGGCTTAATGAACTGACCTGTATTGGAATGTTTATCATGTGAAGGGCCTTGAGACGGCTCTTGTCATGATTTGGCGCTTTAGAAATAAACTTGACTTGTGTGAATATAAAGTTACAGCGCTTAGTAATTCACATAATGTGTTTCCAACAGATGTTCAACCGATGGTGCTGGTTAAAGAAGCTCCTGAAGAACAGAGTGCTAGTGAGGACCAGCAGGACCCAGAACACTTCCACATAAAGGAGGAACAGGACGAACTTAGGACCAATCAGGAGACTGATGCTGCCAGGTTTCCATTCACTGTAGATACTATAAAGAGTGAGGATGATGAAGAGAAACCTCTGTTCTCACAGCTTCATCAGCAGCAAATGGAGGACAGAGATGTTCCAACCAGCAGCTCAGCTGACCTGAAGACAGCAGAAACTAGAAAGTACTCAAATCTTTTCCCTCATGAACAGACATCTGATTCTTCAGAGACGGAAGTTAGTAGAGATGATGAAGAGGATGATGATGTGAACATAGACTCTGAGCTGTCTGACACTGGAGACAGAGTCAATGACTGCAACAAGAGCAGGTCTTCTGAGTCAGATGTTAAGTCTGTCAACAAATCCTTTAGCTGCCCTGAGTGTGATAAACTATTTCTCCACAAGAGTTCTCTCCAGAAACACGTCGGAGTGACGGGACATACGGCAAAAAGGTCTTCTGACTGTCGGGTTATTAGAAAATGTGTTGGAGTGAAGAAACAAGTGCACGCGTGCAGAAAAATCCAGAAAGGACTAAAATCATATTGTTGTGACGACTGTGGAAAAAGATTTCGGGGAATATCAGGTTTAAACAGTCACATGAGAGTCCACACCGGAGATAAGCCTTTTGCCTGTGAACTCTGTGGACAAAGATTTAATCGAAAGACTAATTTAAACAGTCACATGAAAGTCCACACTGGAGTGAAGCCTTTTGCCTGTGAACTCTGTGGACAAAGGTTTAGTCGTAAGGCAAGTTTAAACTTTCACATGAGAGTCCACACCGGAGAAAAGCCTTTTGCCTGTGAGCTCTGTGAACAAAGATTTAATCGAAAGACTAATTTAAACAGTCACATGAGAGTCCACACCGAAGAGGAGCCTTTTACCTGTGAGCTCTGTGGACAAAGATTTAGCCAAAAGGAACATTTAAACAGTCACAAGAGAGTCCATACAGGACACAAGCCTCTTATCTGTGAGCTCTGTGGACAACGATTTAGCCAAACTTTCAATTTGAACAGTCACATGAGAGTACAT